CCAGACCAGTTTGTGAAGGCTCCATGTGTTGCCAAAAGGCCCTGCTCCAGAAGTGGCTGAGAGTGCCCAAGAGAAAGCCTGCAAACACCAGAGCACTCTGTAATTCATGGAGAGCTATTTTACCACTTGCAGCTGGAGTAACCTTAGAAGTCGTGTTGTTTAATCTCAGCCTTGTATATCGTCAAGCACTTCTTTATGCAGTGTGCTGAGCAAGCGGTGCATTCCACCACTTGCCAGGAAATGGCAGCACTCAGAAGCTGAATTAAACCTTGCTGTGGCACAGCATTCTGACTGATGTGAAATGAGGTCAGAAGGCTATTTGAGAAATAACATCCGTTTGACCAGCATGTATGAGGCAATAAATGTCTTCCACACTGGTCAGACGCCAAAGCCGCAAGCATTTAATGTATACGTGGGAGACTGCATTTGTACAGCAAGCCAGTGGGGATCTAACCACTTGGAGTAGGGCTGGAGGTGTCACTCAGCACAAGGAGGTGGACACAGGATTTAACAGAGCAGCCAGTCCAGTGGAGATTAACACAGATTTCAAAACCAAAGCAGCCAGTGTCAATCGAGAGCAGGGACAGACACAGCATTCAAGGCCAGCATCACTTCAGTTCAGCTTAAGTAGTTCAGTCAAACTGGGCCTTGGTTCTGGGCTCAAATCCTCGGGGTTGCACTCAGCACTTTAACTTGATCAGGAAGATTTTACGAGGTATATAAAAAACACAGGGAAATGGAAATGAAACAAAGTGGTCATAGACTGGACGGTGACTCAAGCTGAAAGCTCTCCTCCTGTTCCTATGTAAACCTAAACAGATTCCGTGAAGAAACCAAATCTGCTGGGAGATTTTTTTTCCTCCCTTCTTCTCTCCCCCCTTCTCCCTCTGATGACCTCACCGAAATAAAAACAAGTCTGTTTCAAGTAAGTGTGGAGGGCTGCCAAGTGGATCAAGCTGGTAATGGAGGCTTCATGGGTTTATTAAGCAGCTGCCTGTAAACTATTCCCACTCTTCATTAAAGCCTGTAACTTTACTCCTCCTTTAAACACTTTTGAACCCCAGGAATGTCAATTAATGTGGCCTTTATCTAACAGGCTTTATTTTGACTACAGTTCAAAACAGGAATGGTTACTTCAAACAAAACTGATGCATTGTGAAGTCAGGAGGTCTGGAAGCTCTGTGAGTGCGTGGTTATCGATTATGTGGATAAGCTCTAACGAGTCAATGCCATCAAGAAGCTGGAGTTGGTAGCTCAAAAAATCCCATAAGATGTAGGAACAGGAGTCGGCCATTCGGCCCCTCGAGCCTGCCCTGCCATTTAATAAGATCATGGCTGATCTTCTAACCTAATTCCATTTCCCTGCCCTATCCTCATATCCCTTAATCCTTTAGAAATCTATCAACCTCAGTCTTGATGTCCCAGAGATATTGTGAAGTTCGCACCCCATTCTGTTTGATCCCATTCTGTAGATCATTTTAATAGGAACAAGGCGAATGAGAGATCTGGGGGTGGGGGGGGGAGAGAGATAAAGATGTGGGGCAAAGTGGACAGCACATTTTTATATTTTTATAACCCTGTCCAAAACCACTAAAGAACTTGGTGGTAAATGTTAACTGGCATCTCAGGGACACCTGACACACTGAATGCAGCCCACAGATACAACATAAGTTATGGTTCTAGAGCACCTTTCACTTTGGTAGGGGGTTGGGTCAAAGCAAAGAGTGCCCAATGCCAGGCAGGCAAAGTGCTTGTTTTACAGGAAACAAAGCACAGTGAACGAGGCACTCGTGGCAAGCACGGAGCACGGGGGGGAGGGGGCGAGGCGGAGGGACTGCGGGATGGAGTTCCAGAGGGTGGGGGCAAAGTGGCAGAAGGCCCATACACCAATAGTGGGGCGAGCGAGGCGGGGGACGTGAAGCAGGCCGGAGCCCGCTGAGTGAAGGGAGCGAGCAGGATGGTAGGGGCTTAGGAGGTTGGAGAGGTGGGGGGGGAGCATGATCGTGGAGGGCTTTGAAGATGAGGACCAGGATCTTGAGCTGTATCCTCTGTGTGAGGGGAATCCAGTGGAGTCGGGTGAGGATGGGGGTGATGGGGTCGCGGAGTCTGGTGCGGGAGAGGACACGGGCTGCAGAGTTCTGGATGATCAGCAGCCTGTGGAGGGAGGAATTGGGGAGGCCGACAAGTCGGGAGTTTGTATAGTCTAGCCTCGAATGTTATGAATGCGTGTATGAGAGTTTCTGTGGGGTAGAAAGGATAGTTGAGGGTCTAACAAGACCCCAAGGTTCTGGACTGGCTTAGCAAGGTGGAGTGAGCAACCATGGATGGTGATGCTGTCAGCGCCTGAGCTGAGAAGGCGCTGACGGGAGCCAATCGGGAGAGCCTCGGTCGTGTTGACATTCAACTGAAGAAAGTTCGCTCCCATCCAGGACTTGATGTCTGACAGACATTGTGTCAGGACAGCAGTGGGTCTGGGGTCAAGGGTGGGGGCAGAGAGGTAGAGTTGGGTGTCATCCACATACATGTGGAAGTTGACCCCATGTCTGCAGATGATGTCACCAAGAGGGGAACATATAGATATTGAAGAGGAGGGGACCAAGGACAGAGCCCTGAGGAACGTCGCATGAGATGGTGTGGGGGCCGGAGGGGAAACCGTTTGTGGAGATGAAGTGCAGGGGGTTTGAGAGGTACGATCTGAACCAGTCAAGGGCAGAACCGTGAAGGTCGAGGTGAGAGGAGAGGCAGTGGATGAGGATGGAGTGGTCGACTCTGTCGAAAGCAGCAGAGAGGTCAAGGAGGATGAGGAGGCAGAGCGAGCCCTGGTCACAGATGGACAGAATGCCATTTGTCACTTTGATCAGGGCTGTTTCTGGGCTGTGGGCGGCACGGAAACCCAATTGGAGGGGTTCGAGAAGGGAACTGTGGGAGAGGAAGGAGCGAAGCAACGACTTGTTCCAGGACCTTGGAGAGGAAAGGGAGGTTGGAGATGGGGCAGTAGTTTGAGAGCAAGAATGGGTCCAGGGAGGGTTTTTTAAACATAGGAATGATGACGGCGGTTTTTAATGCGGTACCAGAGGACAGGGAGAGGTTTATAATGTCAGTGAGTAGAGGAGCAAGGAGGTGGAGCTGGGAGGTAAGGAGAGGGGTAGGGATGGGGACGAGGGAGCAGGTGGTCGGTTTCATGCAGGTTACAGTGATGGTGAGAGAGGAGTGGGAGACAGGTTCGAAGGTGTGGAGGGAGGGATGGGTAGGGGCCGGGTGGGAGTGGTAGATGGGAAGGGAGTAGCAGATGGAAGGGCAGAGGCAGCTGAGCTCTTTGGATTTGGATTCGAGGAAGTCCAGCATCGCCTCGCAGTTGGCATTTGAGCTGAGAATTGGAGGATGTGTGAGAGGATGGGCGGAGGAGCCGGTTGGTGATGGAGAAGTGGAGCCTGGCGTTGTCCTTGGCCTCCGAGATTGTCTTGGAGTAGAACAATGATTTAGCGGAGGCGAGGACGGAGAGGTAGGATTTGACATGGTCCAGCCAGATCTGCTGATGGACCGTTAAGTTCGATTTAAACCAGCGCTCAAATATATTGGTGGTGGTGGGGGGGTGGGGGGAAGAGGAGGAGAAAATCAGAGGAGGTATTAAGAGAACTCACCAACATGCATGGGAGCAGGGAGCAGGCCATAGTCATGCTCTCCCGGGATGTACTCCAGCTTCTCCTTCTTCACCAAGATCAAACGACTCTTTGGGCTAACGAGAGGCAGAGAGAACCACTAGTTAAACACTGAATAGAACAAGCTGCAAACCTCTCCCTTTAACACAAGGAACTGTAAACAATTCTAAAACCATCACAACAGGAGGGAGTTATGCTTTATAATAGTAAGCCTTGCATTTGATATAACGCCTTATTACATCGTTGAGACGTCTCTAAGTGCAACACAGGCTATGCTGTAAAGTGTATTTGTGGGTGAAACGCCAGTTGCTGTATCACTATTTAGCCTGTCACAACACTTCATAACCTTCTACCTTCTCAAAGCCAGTGAAAATCTCCATCATAGAATCCCCATCCCTTGCAACACCCAGCACATGTTTCCATTGCTTATATTCAATGCCTGGATTTTATTCAACAGCATCTAAGTGCAAGGTTGCAACCAAATCTCACTACACGAGTGATCAAGCTTGTGTCTTGTTGAGCGGGTCGCCAGAGGAAAGGCTGGACAGGATTACAGCCTTTAATTGAGACGTCTAGAAGACGCGAAAAGCGCTATATCAAATGCAAGGATTATTATCATTATTTAATGCCCAACTTTGATTTCAATGAGTAAGAACAATCCTCGAGGTGACCTTCAAGAGTGGAATGATTTTCTTGTGAAAATCAATCCACCATAAAGCACTGTCGCCAGCACTTGTAGTGTACGTTTCAACTGCAAATAAAAGGAACTGAATAGGAACAGTTTCCCCAGGTTACAATGAGAGAAGTACCAAATGTCCATTGATCTCCATTGTGAACACTGACACCAGGGCAAGACTTGATGTCTAAGCTGACACCCCAGTGCTGGACTGGGAGGGGGAGCACTGCATGGTTGGAGCTGTTAAACCATTGCTTTGCTTGCCTTTTGTGACAGAGATCCTCTCACTAGCCAGGTGAGCGCTCTAACCTCTACACTACAATGCGTCACACTCCAGTTGAATCAGAGTTAGGGGTGGGGGGAGCAGGGAGGGGAACATTAATGTCTTAGATGTACTCACTCAGCCACTTTGTAGACATCAGAGTACAGTCCTGCCTTCTGGTACTTTTTCTTTGGAGGCCGAGGTGCCTTCTTCCCCTTCTGTCCTGGTGGCTGTGCCTGTGTGAGGGGACCAGTGGCTTCAGTTGATGCCGGGGTTGGGGCCGGCTTCTCCGCAGTCGCTGATGGGACAGTTGCTCCTGAGGTGGTCTCAGGGGAGCTGGTTGTGGTGAACGGAACAGCACAGTAAATCAACACCAGCTTCTCAGTCAGTGACTGATGTGCTCACGTGAAAGATTAAAATGTGTACACTCCCCCTAGCAGCCAACTCAATGTGCAACTTAAACCGAGCTCACTCTCACCATAATCTCCTTGGTATTAAATAGCTAGCTGAGCTTCCAGGTGAGTTTAACCAGAATTAGCACAACTCAGTTACTCTCTCCAGCATCACCAGGACGGTTTGGCTACTTGATCTCTCTGTTCCATATTCTCCACCCCTCCCCCTACAGTCCTGCCATGAAACTAGTCAGCGCTTTCTCCCATGAGAATGACCAGAGCTGCTCACACACCTGCCATTAACCATTCCCTTTGCTAATTACTTTTACATTCTCTCCAAAGCACCTTTGTCTCCCTCTCTGAACCCCAGCTCCGGACACATTCACGCTGTGAAAGCATTTGGGTCCTACATTCTCTTGCTCTCTCTCAGCCTTAAAAACAATATTTTGGAAAGGCTAAACTTCAGTCTGGATTTGAAGCTGGTTCATTCTCAGACCAGCAGAAAACCAACTTCCAAATTCAGACTGTATGTTTCAAAAATCCTGCTCGATAGTCAATATTAAAAGCACACTTGATATGCTCTCCAGTCACAGGACAACAAAAGGTATCAAAACACAAAATACTTCAGATGCTGGAATCTGAAACAAAACCAGAGAGAGCTGGGAAAACTCAGCAGGTCAGGCAGCATCTATGGAGAATGGAGTCAACGTTTCTGATGAAGGACCGTGGACCCGAAACGTTGACTCACTTTCCTTTCTCCATAGATGCTGCCTGACCTGCTGAGTTTTCCCAGCTCTCTCTGGTTTTGTAGCAATAAGTATCAGCTGTACTTCACAACAACAAACTGCATTTACATAGTGCCTTTCACGTCATAGGAACAGAAGTAGGCCATTCAGTCCCTCGAGCCTGTCCCGACATTCTGTTAGATCAAGGCTGTGCTGTGCCTCAACTCCAAATACTAGCCTTTGCCCCATATCCCTTGATGTCGGTGGAACATCCCAAGGCGTTGAATCAGATACTTGCCCAGCTTCACAGCTCCTTTTCCGTTTCACGCCCTTCCTGTGCTCCTCATATTGCTGGTTGACACTCTGTAGGACGGCTTCAATGACGTCTGTGACAGTGTCACAGTCCCTCTCCTTCACCGGGCTCTCACTCTGGCTCTTGCAGGCACTCTGACTCTTCACGATGACCCCTTGGTCAGTAGAAGGGACAGGGGTGGGTGGCTGAGCAGGGCTGCACTCCTGTTTCCGGGGTCTCCCACGCCTCCGCTTCACGATGTTGTTACCTGTACGTGACTGCCTCTGGAGCTTCTTCGCTTTCAAGATCTTGTTGACGTGATCCAGGTTCTTCTTGGTAGCTAAGATTTTGTCGAAATTGCACATTCGCCTTGCCTGACATTGCACGGCTTCTATTCGGCTTTTCTTCAGTCGATGCCCAGCTGTGCTGCTGTGTTTATCCGTCTGCACATCACTGATCTGTAGGAAGTCATTAGGTGCAATGCTTTGGGCAGGAGAGGCCTCTGCTCGTCTGCTCTGGCACCTTTCCTGACTGTAACTTCTGTTCGAGGTTGGATTCCTGGAGCAGCTGGGAGATCCTGTTACACTGGCTATAACATCTTCTATTGTCTTCTCTATGGCTGTCTGTTGAGATCCGTCTTGTGTCACACGCTGTATAACATTCTCAATAGCTTCTTCCACTTGATTTCCTAATTTTGTTCCACGTGATATTGATCCTGTTCCTTAGTAAGAAAGGGAAAGACATTTATTAAAATGGTGGTCCAATGAGAGCCGCTGCATTGAGCAATAACAACTCGTTATCTTACATTGCATTTCCCATTTAGGAACGCAACCCAGCCAGTCAATTTGCACGCAGCAATGTCCTACCTATAATATTCCTTGCATTTGATATAGCGCCTTATCACGTTGTTGAGATGTCTCAAAGCGCTTCACAGAATATACTGTAAAGAGCTTTCAGCCTCTCTGCCCCCACACTCTGGAACTCCATCCCACCATGCCTTTGCCTCGCTTCCTCCCTTGCCTCCTTCAAAGCCGGCCTCAAGACCCTCCTCTTCGATCATGCCTTAGGTCGCCTTCCCACCTCTCTCTGCCTTCCCTCACCCCTCCCGCACCCCTCCCCCATGCTCGGGTCCTGATCCCTGACTGTTCAGCGCTTTGGGACGTCCTCCCGACATGAAAGGCGCTCTATAAATGTCATTTTGTTGTTGTGAAGTGACTGTATATTTTGTGGGCGAAATACAGCATGGACTGAATGACCAAATTATTATTTGAAGAAATTATTACTCCTGGAAAGCGATCCACCAATCGACTGAGAAGCGGGTAGCTCAGTGGTTAGAGCACTCGCTTTGCAAGTGAGAGACCTGAGTTCAATTCCAGGCAGAGGGCGAAACCTTGGGCAAGTTTCCTTACTCCACACAGAGCCTAATAATAATCCCTCCAAAACAAAAAAAATAATAAATTGGTCATTTTCAATCCACGACTGTTTGTGGGACATTACTGTGCGCAATTGGCTGCCGCGTTCGCCCACAAATATACAGTCAATTCACTTTACAGTATATTCTGTGAAGCGCTTTGGGACGTCCTCCCGACGTGAAAAGCACTATATCAAATGCAAGGATTATTATTATTGCTGCTTGATAAACAGGGGCGTGGGGAGTAAGGAACTTGCCTGTGGTTTCTCCCTGCCCAGGAATCGAACCCAGGTCCTCTCGCTTGTGAGGCAAACCGGCAAGGGACTCCTCAGCCATGAGAGAATGACCAGTTCTACATGGGGGATTGTTGGCCAAGATACCAGGGAGAGAAACCCCGCTTCTCTTTTTCAAATAGATCCGTAACGTCCACTTGAACAGATATCCAGAGACCTCAAATTTGTAACGGCTCATTTGAACTTCTATTCCTTTGTCTAGCAAAATACGGTCTAAAGACTTCATTTGTAATTTGAAATACTTTACGTCATTCTGTAAAGCACTGTGAACTGTGAGGTGCTTCTGTTATACAAAAGATGCTGCTGAAGCTACAGAGCAATTGTTCCATAAACAGCATTTGAGTAATGAACAGGACAATCAAACTATCATTAGCCAATTACTGCTTACGAAGAGATCATTGCTATAATCATAGGTTTACACTTCAAACTAAGTTCAGGCAGCGTTCCAGACCCACACTTGAGCATGTGTGCCCATTTACTTCATTCCTCTCGAAATTGCCACCTCAGTCAGTGTCTGTGCAGAGGGCAGTGTACACCTCAGTCAGTGTCTGTACAGAGGGCAGTGTACACCTCAGTCAGTGTCTGTACAGAGGGCAGTGTACACCTCAGTCAGTGACTGTACAGAGGGCAGTGTACACCTCAGTCAGTGACTGTACAGAGGGCAGTGTACACCTCAGTCAGTGACTGTACAGAGGGCAGTGTACACCTCAGTCAGTGACTGTACAGAGCAGTGTACACCTCAGTCAGTGACTGTACAGAGGGCAGTGTACACCTCAGTCAGTGACTGTACAGAGCAGTGTACACCTCAGTCAGTGACTGTACAGAGGGCAGTGTACACCTCAGTCAGTGTCTGTACAGAGGGCAGTGTACACCTCAGTCAGTGACTGTACAGAGGGCAGTGTACACCTCAGTCAGTGACTGTACAGAGCAGTGTACACCTCAGTCAGTGACTGTACAGAGGGCAGTGTACACCTCAGTCAGTGACTGTACAGAGGGCAGTGTACACCTCAGTCAGTGACTGTACAGAGGGCAGTGTACACCTCAGTCAGTGACTGTACAGAGGGCAGTGTACACCTCAGTCAGTGTCTGTACAGTTCACAATGATAGGAATAATTCCCCACGTAGTTGAGTGGCAGCTAAACCACCAACACAAGCAGAAATCTGGGCAGAATATCAATGGGGCTGGATTTTCCTGGATTGGAATATTTATTCTACAGATGGCAACATCACATCAAGGTTATAAATCAAGGATACAAGATGTTTGAAAGTGAGTAACAAGGCAGGAATTCAATCATGACGTCAGGAATTCCTGTCATTTGCAAGCATCAGGACTATGGGACTGAATCACAACCTCAAATTCACTGACAGATTAGTTAGTTTATTTGATTTAATCTGAAGTATATTTTTAATACTGCTCACAATGGGAGGGCTTTCTGCCACTATATGGGGTGAGATATAGAATTACAGAGCAATATGGCACAGAAACAGGCCATTCGATTCAACTAGTCCATGCGGGTGTTTATACTTCACAGCCCTCCTATTCCTCTCCCCTATACCCTCTATTCTCTTCTTCCTTATGTGTGCAGTCATCTCCTAACACACTGATGCTTCTTGCTTCAATCACATTGAGTTACACACACAACACACCCCTTGGGACACCCTCCTAATGTGAAGGACGCTATTCAAATGGAATTTGTTGTTGTTGACACATACACACAGACACTAAGACACACACACACAAAGACACACACACATATATATATATATGTATATATATACACACACACACACACAGTCCCACGACACACCACACACACAACCACCACACACCATACATTTAGACTGATTCTATTGGATCACAAGGGAGACCAGCTCATTACTGGGTGTGAAAAGCCAATAACAACAACATGGAAGGAGCTGAATTTGGACTTGCCCGTGGCAGTTGGACCCTCCAACGGGCTTTTCTTTCTGATGGGGCTGTAGCTGCCAGTGTCCTGGTGTCTCTGTGGGGTCTGCTTGTCCTGTACTGGCTGGGGACCTGCACAATTTGTAAAGAGCAACAATTAAAACATGGAGAGCAGAAATGGAGGTGAGCAGAGAGGCTTATTGACACCTATCGTGACTGTTTAACAGTAACTCAACGAATGACATCACTCCGACAATGCCAAAAGGCCACGCAATAAGTTCTCAGTGGCCAGCAATTGCTGGTAGTGTGATTAAACAGCACTTAGCATGGTTTCTGATCCATGCACAAGATAGCGTCTGCTAACCTGGGCTTAACCTGTCCCAATGATTTGGATAGCTCTTTTCAAAGAGCCGGCACAGCCACGAAGCCGAATGGCCTCCTCCTGTGCCAGATAATTGTATGAACCCCTAACCATGAAACTTCCTTCGTTCAGCAAACCCTGGTCTGCTTCAATTCCCCCACCCTATTCACCATACCATCAGCCTCTTTATCCCCACTCTATGGAACTCCCTCTATGCAGACCTTCCAACTCGCTCTCTCCCTCGCCTTGCTTAAAGTCAGTCTCAGGACCTACCTCTCTGACCATGCTTTCATCTCTTCCTTCCCCACCCCAGCTCGGGTGCCCAGCCATTACTGTTTAGCACTTTGAGGTATCCTGCTGAAGTGAAAGGCGCTGTATAAATATACATTTATATTGGAAGGCATTAAGGGGGCAGGAACCTCCCTCAGAATTAGACTATCCAGAATATAGCTTCAACCCGATACTGGTGAAAATCTCTTTGGTCTGTTCCCTGCTTGCACGTATCAACAGTTTATTCAATTCCTGATATTTGTGAAAGCCCAGCACATGACCAAATCGGACGTGTGCTTAGTGAAGAAACTACTGTAGTACTGTTGTACTTCTGAAGAAAATATCAAATTAAGACGTACAGCTTCATCCTATGTAAACTATTCAATAAATTAGCTAATTCACTGAGCAGCTTTACAATCATTCCAAATTCAGAGCAGAATTTAAACCACGTATTTCCCAGGAATGAACCCGCTGACACATAATGGTGGCAGGACTAACAATGCCATTGTGTTCTATGCAGGGTTAAATGTCACTTTGTGTTGTAAGAAGCTTAAGGTAATCATTGTGGCCTGCAGAGGATGTGTTGTGTTGGTTGAAATATAAAGGACTCTGTGGGTTAGAGGGACTGCTACACACTATCTCTCTCTCTTTCCCCCCAACCCCCATATTTTACATTGACAACATGACTATCCCATAAAGGGCACACAACATTTGACCTTGACCTGCAGATTAGTTGCTAATAAAAGTCCAGTGTTAGTGGGGATGTGCTTTTAGAAGGAAGTCTGTGCAGATGAATAGATGCAGTAAATCTGCACACACAAGAACTGCTATGGTTTCAATTTCTTTATACTTTACATAAACATTCAATTCACTTAAAGCAAGAGAATGGCAATGCTAAGCATCCCATTCCCACTTTCCTAACAGTCACACTTAGCCTAGTGTGCTCAGTTCTGCTGACATTAATGGGGGGGCAGGGGGAAAAGAAAGAGCGAAACTGGGAAAAGATTGTTTCACAATTCTCCTTCTATCCTGGACATTTCACTGACTCACCTACTTCATAGGAAAGGAACAAGCTCAGCAATAAGCTTGAAGAGGCCAGAAAATCTGGCCACCAAGTGGATTCTAAAAGACTTGGAAATGACGGCATTCCTTGAACTGATCAATGGTCCAGCATATACAAATGTCATTTTGTATTGTACTTGCAGCAAATCATTATGTGGCTAAAAGCAGATCATTATCCTACAACGGCACACATGAATTCAACCCAAACCCTCAATACAATCTTACTACAAAACCAATTCAACAAAGCAGCCGTGGGCCTCCAAAAGTTCTGGCTTCAACCTAATTCCAAAGATCAGGGCAGGGGAAGGTTCACAATTGGATTAGATCAAGTAGAACAAACAAACAAACAAAGTCTAGATTGATATTCCAGTGAGGCCGGGGAAGCATTGCATTTTCAGACGCAGCTTTCTTCCCCAGCACTGCACTGGCCTTCTGTTGTTAAAGATCCCATGACATGTGGGAAAGAGTAGGGAGTTTTGTGTGGCGTCTGGACCAATAATTCCCCAAACTAACAGATTGTTTACACTATTGCTGGACCTTGCTGTGCCCAACTAGTTGCCAGCTTTGGCTAACCTCCCTTTATTTTACGATGGTCTTAAGCAGATGTCCTCTGTTAGACTTGCTGAGCACTGGAAACAAAGATTATTTTCTCCTCTGTCCTACCCCACCTCCGAGGAGACACCAAGACATAGCTTGGAATATTCCCAGTGTGGTTTGTTCACTGGAAGCATGCAGTAAATGGGAATCTGCTTCCGAACACACACAAAAATTCTTCATACTATTCAACAAGAACACAGCAGCGTGCTGAATAAGGCACTACCTAACCTCTTTACAGCAGAATTTATATAAAAATAATTCCTCCTTCAAGGCGCGTCTCAAGACCCTCCTCTTCGACTGTGCCTTCGGTCACCCTCCCACACCCCAACCTCCTTGCCCTCCACCCCTCCTGATCCCAAACCCCAGCTAGGGTCTAAAAACCTTACTGTCCAGCGCTTGGGACATTGTTCCGATATGAAAGGTGCTATACAAAATGTAATCTGTTGTTATTACAGCTCTACAAATCTGTAAATAGTGTCAGTCTTTGGGCGAGGGATAGAAAACAGGTTTAGGACGCTTTGCAAGCATACATTGTGAAATGATCGAGCCAGTTAAAAAGTTAAACTGCATTATTTTCTGGATCTTAATTCTCCTAAGTCAGTTAAACCACAGCTACAGATGTTTTTAATGAGTAAGCAGACTGAGTGGAAGGAAAATGGTTTATCTGACTCAACATGAACGACGTACACCAGAGGGTTGATTCCTCCCAGCACCAACAGTTTGGGCTTCATGTTTACAGGCAAGCTTCTCATCAACACCTACCAAGATTGCTCAACTGCACTGAAAATCCCATGGGAATTCCTAGCTAACCACATACATAGTCAGCATCTGACAAATAACTATTCTGAATTCACTGCGGGATTTAACCCTTCATTGTTTAAAATAGCTACAGGCCCTGGGTGTGCTTTAACCACTCATTCCTAATTCACTAAAAAATCTTCGCATTCACGCATCATTGATCTATTCTGCCAATGCTTGGAAAAAGCCGGTTAACGTAGACAGTTCCTTTCCTCTCCAAGTTCCTGGAACGAGTCGTTGCTTCACAGCTTCGCTCCTTCCTCTCCCTCCATTCCCTTCTCGAACCCCTCCAATCGGGTTTCCGAGCCACGCACAGCACAGAAACAGCCCTGGTCAAAGTGACAAACGGCATTCTGTCAGACACCAAGTCCTGGATGAGAGCTAACATTCTTCAGTTTAAAGTCAACAAGACCGAGGCTCTCCTGATTGGCTCCCGTCCTCCCCTCCTCACCTCAGGCGCTGACAGCATCACCATCCATGGTTGCTCCTCCACCTTACTAAGCCAGTCCAGCACCTTGGGGTCTTGTTAGACCCTCAACTCTCCTTTCTACCCCATATCTGTGCCATGACCCGCTCTGCCTCCCCCACCTCCGCAACATCGCCCGACTCTGACACTGTCTCACATCACAGTCCCTCATACATGCCTTCATTACATCCAGGCTCGACTATACAAATTCACTGCTCGTCTCCTCCCTCCACAGACTGCAGATCATCCACATCTCTGCAGCCCGTGTCCTCCCGCACCAGGCTCCACGACCCCATCACCCCCATCCTCACCCGACTCCACTGGCTTCCCCTCACACAGAGGATACAGCTCAAGATCCTGGTCCTCACCTTCAAAGCCCTCCACGGTCTTGCTCCCCCCTACCTCTCTGACCTCCTAACCCCCTACCATCCTGCTCACTCCCTCCGCTCAGTGGGCTCTGGCCTGCTTCATGTCTCCCGCCTTGCCCGACCCACCCTCTGGAACTCCATCCTGCAGTACTCCCTTGCCTCCTTCAAGCCCTGTCTCAAGACCCTCCTCTTTGATCGTGCCTTCGATCACCCTCCTGCCCTACCCTCCACCATGTCCGATCGGGTCCGAAACACTGATTGTCCAGCATCTTGGGACATTCTCCCGACTTGAAAGGCACTATACAAATGTAATTTTGTTGTTGTTAAATGTGAGCTGACTGCACTGACAAAAACCACAACAACACAAAGAATCCAACAGGGAGGCTCACATCTCACTGCCCTCAAACCATCCGAAACATTTCTCAATGGCAATTCATTCCCTTTATCACAATCCAGCAAAAGTCAACAGCGCATCAAGAAGACAGGATCGAAATTCAGTTTAATATTACTAACAAGTTAGAAGTCAAGACAACTGTCTTCTAGTCAGAAAATTTGACAAGCAGAGCCCTAAACGTCCTCTCAATTTGCTTTAAAAAACGTGTAGTGTGAATGGCTTAGACTAGATTTTTTTTTAAAAACACAATAAAAGTCAGACTATTAAGAGAGCTTGCCAGTCAGTTCACAGTGACTATTTAGTAACTAGCTATTCAAATGCCCTCAGGTTGTGACAGTTGAGTAGCATCATAGAATCATGGAATATTACGACACAGAAGGAGGCCATTCGGCCCATCGAGTCTGTGCGGCTCTTTGACAGAGCAACTGACTTTTATTAACCCCAATCACCAGCTTTCTCCCCATAACCCCACAAACCTGACTTCTCCAGATACCTATCCAGTTCTCTATTAAAAGCTGCTATCGAATCGGACTTCACTGCCCTTTCGGGCGGATCATTCCAAATCCCAACAACTCGCTGAGTGAAAACATTTCTTCTAACCTCCCCTCTGCTTCTTTTGGTAGATATCTTAAGACTGTAACCACGGGTCACAGACACACCTACCAGCGGAAACAGCTTTCCCTATCTCGCCTGTCGAAACCTTTCATGATCTTGAAGACCTCTATCAGGTCCCGCGTAACCTTCTCTGCTCTAATGGGAAAACTCCTAACTTCTCCACTGTCCTCATAGCTAAGGTTCCCCATTCCTGGTATCATTCTCGTGAATCTCCTCTGTACCCTTTCCAGTGCCTTAATGTCCTTCCTGAGGTAAGGTGTCCAGAACTGGACGCAGTACTGCAGCTGAGGCCTAACCAGTGTTTTGTACAGATTAACCATAACCCCTACTCTTATACTCTATGCCCTACTAATGAAGCTCAGTACACCAAATGCCCTTTTTACTGCCCTATCTACCTGCTCTGTAATCAGATAGTCTGGGATTTAATGAAACCACAGATTGTGTAATGCATCCAAATGAAGTATTCCAACATCCTAGTTACACATGTTTTTAATGCCTGGAACAGTTATGTACGGACATCTTGTAGAACAAGCCACATTAATTTACGTAAAGATTCTTTCTGTCCACAATGCGTCAGCAACAGAATACATTTCAGCGTTTGTTTAGTTGTCACTCTTCTGTGAAAGAGCTTTGAACAGAGCAGGTAATTTACAAATAGAACCTGCACCATATTAGGATTAACTTGAGTCAAATTTGCAGATGACTTGCATATAACCAGGTTTATATTGAAAAGGAACTACGCCCCATCACCATTACCAGCATTTATATAGCAGCCTTCACACAGGGCAGTGTCTCAGAGCGCTTAACTGTGTTGGAATCCAGTAATAACATCCTTGAGTATAGCCCTGCCTTGCTTATAGCCCAGGCAGCAGTGGACACATAACTTCTAGTGCTGACTAGCTGGCTTCATACTATAAAAGAGGGACAATATCTGAACAAAATCTAGCCTTGGGTAACCCACAATGGCCCCTTTGTTTACACAGTTGGTTTAATATTTAAACATATTTTTAAATCTATCAAAAAAAGTTGTCACTCAATCCATGACTGTTTTTGGGACACTGCTGTTCGCAAATGACTTCCGCCTTTTGCCCACAAACTATACAGTCAATTCACTTTACAGTGTATTCTGTGAAGCACTTTGAGACATCTCGAAGACGTGATAAGGCGCTGTATCAAATGCAAGGATTATTATTATCATCATCAGCCTGTGCACTGAATTACTGGATATAATGGAGGTGGTAAAGAGACAAAAGAAGAATTTAAAATCAACAAAATGAAGAATACACAGGTTTTGTGTATGAAGCTGATTTGAAGTGTGCAATAAGTAATGCATTTATAACTGAAAGCTTTGTGCCTACACTCCGACCCCACTCGCTGACTAACGGATCCAGGCCCTGTCTTTGTGATTTCTGCTGACTGCAGTGACTCAGTTATGGTTCTGTAGGTTTCTGATAATTTGAGCTCACATTACCACAAGCTGTTTCAACATGCAAATACCAGGACGCACTGCCAGTCTAATGAATAATCCACCTTAAGGCACAATTCTCTCAAAGATTAAGGTGAGTGATGAGTACGGTTAGAGGTTTGGTTAATATACACAAACAAAGAATTAGAATAATTTCCAATATGATATTTATGTATTACAGCCACACACACCCACAACGGGAGGGTCAGATTTACTCCTCCTTAGAATCGGTCTGCACCACCCACTTTCCCTGATCTGAGGGATGCATTGGAGTCAGTCTTTCAGGCATCAACTGTTATTATCTCCCACTGCTACCAGTCATGAGTGGGTGTTGACAGCTCGCTGATATTTCCTTTCGTTGGCCTCCACAGGCTCCTTGCCATAAGAATGAAGGTAGTTAATGGGTACCAGTAAGAGAAATCTAACCACTGGGCCAGTTTATATACAAGAAACAAAAGGCAAGAAGGTGTGGGTGTTTCCCTTCCATTCGAGGAATTATTTTCTCATCTTTAGATATTTCACTTGTCATAAGTCAAAAGAGCGCCTTCAAGTGAGACATTAAACCAACGTCCCGTCTACCTGTTCAGGTGAACATTTAAGATTTCATGGCACTGCTCGAAAAGAGAAGGGAGTTTTATTTGGCCAATGATCTCCCAAATAAAAGTTGGTCTTTCATTTCATGGCTGTTTGTGGGACACTGATATGAGCAATTGTGTTGTCGCGTTTGCCTATAAACATATAGTGACTCCATTAAACAGTAAATCCTGTGAAGCACTTTGAGACGTCCTTTAGGGATAACCTTGTATTACTGAAAACGCACTGAAGGGAAGCTAAATACATGAACCAATTTAAAAACTATATTCACACCCAAAGCCACTCCCCACTATTCCATCTTGCAACAGCTCCCAAGTGCAACGTAGAGCCATGGATGGAATTTCAATTCCCATTGTGCTGCTATTAACAAAACAATTTTTTTTTAAAAATGTTATCAAGTGGTATTCAATCCTGTAGCTCAGTGGTTAGAGTAACTCGCCTCCCAAGCGAGAGAACCTGGGTTTGATTCCCGGTAGGGCGACACATTGGGCAAGTTTCCTGACTCTATAGACAAACACACACACGCACGTGCACACAAAGGCTTACTGTTTACCAACAGTAAGTAGGAACCCGGCTGTTAGTCGATTGGCGGATTGCTTTTCCGGGGATAATAATTCCTTCAGAAAAAAATAATAATAATAAATTGGTCACTCATTCCACGATTGTTTGTGGGGACACTGCTGTGGGCAATTGGCTGCCGCGTTTCACCCTCAAAATGCACAGTCAATTCAGTTTACAGTGTATCCTGTGAAGCGCTTTGAGACATCATGAAGACATGATAAGGCTCTGTATCAAATGCAAGGATTATTATTATCATTATTATCTAACCTCCGTGCATCTTCTCATTATACTGAGCACCCCGTAATGTATATTTAAAGCTCTTGTATTTGTACAGAGGAGATGTTTAACAGAAGGGTCCAAGACTTGTAAATAACAGGCATTGAGTGGTAACAAGCCAATGAAGACCAACCATAAGGTGAGGGAAGCAGGTGCTCTTTGATCCAGAAGTTAATATCCTGAAGTTGTAAAGTGCCTGGCACTTGAGGTTACGCCATCCCTGCCATGGAACACGACCAAGTCAAACAGTTCAGTTCCACTAGAGAACACGCAAACAATACCGGGCATCTGATTTTAACAGAACAAAATCCCCAAATGTTTAGTTACACTAGCCACTGTGGTGTCAGCTGGCACTGAGTGCTGCCCTGACAGACACTGTCCATTCCTGCTAAGAGAACAGCAGGATTTTGTGGCTAGCACTAATCAGGAACGCACACACTTTCACGTTTATTATTTTAAAAGGAATTTCCATGTAGTATCTTATAGAGAAACTGCCTGTGGCAGGCAGTAAACATGGAGATGTGTGTAACCTGGACAGAATCATTTCTTTACGGAGTCATTTTAATTCCAAATCAACAAGAAATTAATGTAATAAGTAGAGAGATTTGGATTTTCATAGGTAGGTAGTATTTGCTTAAAAAAGTGGGGGAAGAGAAAGGAAAATGAGTCCTTCACTTCGAGCGCTCACTAAATATAGTGTAAATGAACACCACCAAATCTAATTAAATGTGAAATCTAATTAAAGCAGAGGTTAACTGCAGCAGAGAAGAGATCAGAAGGCAAAAAGGGTTCAGCCATGGGGGATTTCATGCACGTCGGTGCTTTTTTTTTATTCTCATCTTCGGCAGCAGTGCAGTGGGAAAGTGACGTTACTCAATCGCTGGTGAAAGCCACACAGATACCTACACACATCTCACAAGATGAGCAGTCAACAAACTCTCTGTAATGTGGTACAAAATATCTTTCCTACCAACCCAACATACCAGGATTAAAACAATAATGTCAGTAGGAAAGGATTTAAAACATTACAAGGTACAAAACCCTGTGATTGCTACTTTGGGGATGCAGGGGCAGAGGCAGTCACATGTACCACAGAAGCACAATACTTTACCTGGCCTGCGAGACGGTTTTCAAACATTTAGCAAAAGATGCCAAACCTATCCATACCCAAGATAGTGCCACCACAATACATATTTATGAATGGTCAATTGCTCACAAAAGTGTAAGGAAAATATTGCAGGACAATAACAACAACAACAAGATTCCATTAATGGAGCGCCTTTCACGTCGGGAGGACGTCTCAAAGCGCTGGACAGTTGGGTCAGGACCCGAGCAGTGGGGAAATGGTCAGGGTGAGAGGAGGGAAGGGAGGGAGCGAGGAGGGGGGAGATGGTCAGGGTGAGGGGAGGGAAGGGAGGGAGCGAGGAGGGGGAGATGCTCAGGGTGAGGGGAAGGAGGGAGCGAGGAGGGGGGAGATGGTCAGGGTGAGGGGAGGAAAGGAGGGAGCGAGGAGGGGGGAGATGGTCAGGGTGAGGGGAGGGAAAGGAGGGAGCGAGGAGGGGGGAGATGGTCAGGGTGAGGGGAGGGAAAGGAGGGAGCGAGGAGGGGGGAGATGGTCAGGGTGAGGGGAGGGAGCGAGGAGGGGGTAGAGAGTCGAGAGTGGAGCTGAAGGTACGGTCAAAGAGAAAGGTTTTGAGACCGGCCTTGAAGGAGGAGAGGGAGGAAGTGGCGAAGGCACTGGGGGATGGAGTTCCAGAGCCTCGGGGCTGAGAGGCTGAAGGCCACCGATGGTGGGGCGGTTGGGGCGGGGGATGTGGAGCAGACCGGAGCCAGAGGAACGGAGGGTACGGGCAGGTAGGTAGGGGGATAGTAGGGCAGAGAGGTAGGAGGGAGCAAGGCCGGGAATGGCCTTGTTGGTGAGGATGAGGATCTTGAATTCGATCCTCTGGGGGATAACCCTGGAATCTGATCTGAATCTGTATCCATCTCCATTTTTAGCATCAGCGCCTTTCCCACCCAATTAGAATTGCCATTAAATTACAGGTTCCAGAATACCTTGTCAAAACAAGAGCATGGTTTCCACATGGTCCTACCTGGTAGTGCCTGGGAGATTCTCTCGCTGGAGGACGGTCTGTCCCGCCTTATTAATCTGCTGGGCACACTGTCCTGTGCTGTTAGCATTCCCGGGCTCTCAGGCAGCTTCCTCCGCCCCATGCCACTCGTCAGTTTGCTGGCCTTGCAGTTTCCTATTGCACTTGTAAACAGATTGGTGTGTTCTTCACTGCTGCTGGACTCAGAGCTGGGCATGTATTGTCTTGGACATGAACCCACCAATTCTTCTGTACAGTCAATCTGGAGAGGGGTCTGCATCCCTATCGAGATGGAGCTGTGCTCATGTGAATCTCTCCGGGTCCACTGATCCCTACTGCTCAGCAAGCCCTTTGGCGATGCCAAGTGGGTGTATGGCATGTGGCACCTGTGTTTCTCCTTGTGTTTGTGCCTTTCTGACATTGCTTCCTTCCCATATGTGAACCTCCGCAGCAATGAAGGATTAACCGTTAAACCGTCCACCGAGGGTGGATTTTGTTCAGAGGAACGATGTTCCCGGTGCTTGTGTCGGTGCTTGTGTTTGTGCTCATGCATCCAGCTGTAAGCCATCTCCGCAGGAATGCTGGCATAAGTGCCCATGGAAAGCAGTGAGGTCCGACTGCCAGCTAAGAAGGCCTCCGGCCTGAGAAGTCTGTGTTTCTTCTTGTGGTATTTATTGGGGTTGAAGAGCAAGTGACCAGCATGCATGAAAGAGGGAGGAGGCATAGCATTACTCAGGGATGGGGGAGGAGGAGGTGGCGGTGGGTAAAGTGTTGGAGGATACCGTGCAAAATAACCCAAGCCCAGAGGAGTTGCAGAAACTGGGGTTGGGGAGTAAGGCATACTGTATGATGGGAAGAAGCCACTGTTTGCAAGAGGGAACCCCATGCTGTGGACAAAAGGGACCTCTGCCATTGCCTCACGCATTTTTGGAGGCCGTCCCCTCTTTTTCTTCAGCTCGGGCTTTCGGACATAGTGTAGAGGATCAAAGGGGAAAGGTGGGTGAGTGTAGAAGCTGCCAAAGTTGATGCGAAAGATAGAAGGCAGGATGTCTCTGGGGATGTAGTGATGGCTTCGGTGAGTTATTCTCAATTCACTCAGCCTAGTGAGGAGCTCCTCCAGCTCAACTAGAAAGTTGGGGTCTTGTTTGCTCCGCAGCTGCAAGTATTTCTTTTTCGTTTCCTTTTCTGCCGTTTCAGCTTATCGTAGCTGAGATAGTCGTGTGTTCTGCGTTTACACTTGTGTTTGTGTTTCTCTTTCAGGCCGGTCAGAACCACAGAGCTTTCAGGAGGCAGTACCGAGATGTGGTCAAAGGAGTACCTCCGCTTCCTAGAGCTGCAGAACTTCTCTGCCCTATCTGATGTGCTATTGTTGTCAGTCCCGATGCCGCTGTCACTAGGGATGGTCTCCTCGCTGTGAGACTCGCTGATCGGCGAGGGTGTGGCCTCCTTCAGAGAGGTCAGCTCGCACAGGTGAGACGGGGAGTTTGGCAGTAAAGTCGGAGGCGAGAGTTTCCTCCTCCCTTTGGAGACTTTCTTCATTGCGGTGTTTGCATTAGATTTCCTTTATTTACATGCAAGTGCAGGTTTGGCACTGGGGTAGGTTCAATAAACCCGGCGTCACTGCTAACAGGACTCTGATTGCCACTCACTCCCGAGGACTGGGAGTAGGCCGGTGAAGGCAGGCCATCTGGAACATTAGCGGTGGTCGACTGGCTGAAGTTTGGCAACATTTGCCCTAGTGTTGTAGTGGATGCTGACTGGGACGCCTTCATATCGATGGTCAGTGTGCTGGTCACATACGGACCATCTAGAGAGATCTTGGGCTTTCGGCCCCTTTTCTTTCCTATATAAATTGTTCCTTTTTTACTAACATTGATCTGCTGACCCAGCTTGGAGCCAAAAGTGGCAGTGAGAGTTGAGACAGTATTACTCAGTTTCGATTGCACTTTCCCTTTATTACTGGACCCATTCGCGCTCGAAAGGATCTGGTTTAAAAGTTTTTTCCGTTTCAGCGTTTTCATCTTGTTGATCTTTTTGATAAATTTCTTATCTAAAAAAGTTTTCATCAGCTGTCTCTTTTCTTTCTTGCCCGACCTCGGGTCTGTGTCAGCACCGAGCTCCACGTGATCAGTTGGGGTCGGTTTTTGAACATGCTCAGCTAGCTTGCCCTTCTCTTTCACCTCACTGGCTTCAGTATTCCTGTGCTGCACTATCTCGGCCTTGCTCTCACTCAAACCATCTGGGATACACAGCGCTGGACATGACAACACAGCTGATGAGGGGGACTTGGCCACAGGAATCAGCTTTTTCGGTCTCCCCCTCCGCCGTTTTCCCGGAAGAGAGCCATGAACGTTTTACTAGCTACAATCTGAGTTTCTGGTTGCAGTATGGGAGGCTCCTTCTCCCTAACAAATCCCTTAGTCTTTGACGACACGGAAAAGACCTTAGAAGCAGGAATCTTTAAAGTCCTATGTGGGGGCCCCTCCAGTTGAGGCATGGAGTTAGTTTTCGGCCGGCCCCTTTTAGGCTTGTGAATATCTGAAGTAGCACTTAGTAATGGGGAGTCTTGTGATCCGCTTTTAGATGGTTTTTCCTCTCGGCAAGCTTGCAGAGATATAAACTGTCTACCACACTCAAGCTTTTGAGAAAGGGGTGGAGAAATACAAGCCTTGGTTAGTTTTGGCAGTCGAGGCTTAATAATTTTAGTTTCAAAGAAAATCGGCAAAGGTCCAGTATTTTTTAGTGTCCGCACTTGGTCAGCATTAGGTTTGTGCTCGGTGCTGTAGGTGACAGGTTTCAGAAGTCCTGATGGTATTGTTGGCGTTACCAAACTCTCACCAAAGGTGGTAGCAGCTGTATTGCTTGTAACCACTTTCATCCTGGGCCGCTGTCCTTTCCTCTTGTTGATCGACTTCAGTTGGAAAGCAGAATTGGGTATAGTGCAACTTGGATGGGATCGATACAGCTGCTGATGTGCAACTTTCAGTGGGACAGGCTTGTGTGACGATCTGTTATTGAGGAGACTTTTGAAGCTGGCCACCGTGGTGAGAGCAGAATTCCGAGTGTCTAATTTCGGCAGCGAAGCAGTCCCTAGCTCGTGACTGCCACCAGCTAACTGCATGAAGGCCTTCATGTTATCGAGGCGTGGTGGCTCCAGCCTGTTTTCGATTGTGTGCTCAGCTGCCATACAGCCTACATTGGCAGACTGAGCATTAACCTTGAAGCCAAAGTTGGGAGGAGGGCTGTCTGATATAGGCTGATTCTCAAGTGGTGGTTTGCCATCCAAAAGTGCCGTTTCTAGGACTGGGTCAGGATCGATGTGCCTGGAGGTGGACTGAGAAGGAAGGAAAGCAGAGCTCCGGTGTAACAAAGCTGCTGGTGAAGGTGCAGAGAGGGGCCTTTCCACCACCATGCTGCCAGTGGAGCGCCTCGCATAGACATCAGTGCTTGTTGCAGTTCTATGATCTGATGAAGTGCAATATACTGTAGGCTGCTTATCTACTTTTGGGATGTGTGCTCTGTCATTTCTGGAGACGAGCGCTCAATCGGAGGTGAAATTCCTTCACTACACAATTCTGCATCATGCACACCAGATTCTTGCCGTACTGAAGATTTTTCTAAAACAGAGTCTTTATCATTTTGTGTTAAAACAGTCTTGCCACAGCTTTTATTGTTAGCAACATCCTTGGTAGACTGGGGATCTTCCTGTTCTGTCAAGTTCACATTCTTATAATCTACATAGGTTGGAGTGATGAAGTTTACTGAGATGGGAACAGCATGGCTAGTCTTTGGTTGGCCCAAATCTTTGCTCATCACCATTGCATTGCCAGCCCCTTGCTTCCTAAATTTAATTCTGGAAGACTTGGAGATTTGACAGGTGCTTTTTAGCGTTGCTGATTTTTCAGTCAAGGTTGCTTCTCCGTTCACGTGTCCTTGCTCTTTTGGGTCAGAGTTTCTGGGGTTTCCCATGATACACACAGCAGCTTTACTACATTCAGATTGCTCCAAACTCCGAGAATGAAGATTCTTTGCCTCTCCCACCTGTAGAAATCGATCTTCCTCAGCAGAAGATTCAATGGTATTCATTTCCTCACATTTCTTGTGCAACTTCAGGGAACCCTGCATTTAAAAAAACATAGCGACACATTTTTTACACTCCAACATAGGATATATTCACAAGTGCTTTTGAAACAGTAATTTCTCAAATCTAACACAATGTTTCAGTCAGCGAATGTGTCACTTATTAAAACCCCCATGTTCAAAAGTATAAATGTTGACTCTTTCCTGCCCAAAGTGAGCAAAACCCAGTTTCACAGCAATTACAACACTGAAGGCAGCTATTCAGCTCATCGAGCCTGCACTGGACTAATTCAGTGAAGGTTGGAAGAGCAACATACTCTTATTACAGTGCTTTTCACATAGTGAGAACATCTCAAAAGAGCTGTCTAAAAACCGAATAGAAACCTGAGCTGGAAGACTCCATGTCCCCCTTTCCACCTCCTGCTGACTTGGGACAAAATCCAAACCATCTGAATTTAACACTCAATCTTGCTGATTTTATGATGATATTGATAAAATGATATAAACTGATTTGCCCTGGATAACAATCCCCTAGAGAGAAAAAAATATTGGTCATTCACTTTATGGCTGTTTGCAGCCCAAATAATGCTGCTGCATTCCCTTACAAAATACAGTCACTGCACGTTACAGATGTGAAGCGCTTTGAAAAGACTTGAAAAGGTTTATATTAAATACAAAATTAGGTAACTAAACCTGATGAATTTCTGGGGTAGTGAAGATATTTATAGAGAATGGAATTTCTCTCTCCTGGTGTCCTGGCCAACAAATCCCCCAAATAAACCTGGTCACTCACTCCATTGCTGTTTGTGAGACACCGCTGTGCATAAACTGGCTGCCATGTTTCACACAAATCACACAGCCAATTCACTTAGTCACGTGGAGTCCTGTAGCTCAGTGGTTAGAGCACTCGCTTTGCAAGTGAGAGACCCGAGTTCAATTCCAGGCAGAGGGTGAAACCTTGGGCAAGTTTCCTTACTCCACACAGAGCCCTAATAATAATCCCTCCAAAGCCCAAAACAATAATAAATTGGTCATTTTCAGTCTATGACTGTTTGTGGGACATTGCTGTGCGCCATTGGCTGCCGCGTTTCGCCCACAAATGTACAGTCAATTCACTTTACAGTATATTCTGTGAAGCGCTTTGGGACGTCCTCCCGACATGAAAAGCGCTATATCAAATGCAAGGATTATTTATTTAGAGCGTATACTGTGAAGCACTTCAAGATGTCTCAGCGACATGATAAGGTGCTATATCAAATGCAAGGATTATTATTATATTTGGGATATGAACCTCAGCAGTAGAAATAATGACTGGAAAATCTGAAAGAACCCAACATCCACCAGAAGGGGATGTTCAAATAATCAGCCATTAATCATCTTTCACCACATCAGAGCTCCAGTTTCACTGGAAGCAGAATTCACCTCTGTGCAAACACTCATTTTGCTAATGAATCAGCATCTTGACATACCTGTGGCTAATAAGAGGATTAGACAGGATCGCTGGGTGAGTCTCAATTAATACCAATTAGAACCCAAATAACTCCAGCCTGTTGACACTCCGCAGTCTCAGCTTGCCATTATTTGTGACTGGAGGGAGCAATGCCAGGCTAGTGGAGTATGATGAAACCTGGCACAAGAACAACCTAAAATACTAGAAACACTAAAATTATACTGTGCTCGTTTGCACAACAACAACAAAATGATGTGTGAAGTGCCTTGTGCCTTTCACGTCGGGAGGAAGTCCCAAGACGCTGGACAGACAGAGCTGGGGGGTCAAGGAGGGTGGAGGGCAGAGGGGGAAACAGGGCAATTGAAAGCACGGACAAAGAGGAGGGTCTTGAGATAGTACTTGAAGGGGGCGAGGGAGGGGGCGAGGCGGAGGGATTGCGGAATGGAGTTCCAGAGGGTGGGGGCACAGTGGCTGAAGGCCCACCCGCCAGTGGTGGGGTGAGCGAGGCGGGGGCCGTGAAGCAGGCCGGAGCCCGCTGAGCGGAGGGAGTGAGCAGGATGGTAGGGGGTTAGGAGGTCAGAGAGGTAGGGGGGAGCAAGACCGTGGAGGGCTTTGAAGGTGAGGACCAGGATCTTGAGCTGTATCCTCTGTGTGAGGGGAAGCCAGTGGAGTCGGGTGAGGATGGGGGTGATGGGATCGTGGAGCCTGGTGCGGGAGAGGACACGGGCTACAGAGATGTGGATGATCTGCAGTCTGTGGAGGGAGGAGTTGGGGGCTGACAAGCAGGGAGTTGGTGTAGTCAAGCCTGGAAGTAATGAAGGTGGGTGTGAGGGTTTCGGGGGCTGCGGTGTGAGACAGTGTCAGAGTCGGGCGATGTTGCGGAGGTGGGGAAGGCAGAGCGAGTCATGGCACAGATGTGGGGTAGAAAGGAGAGTTGAGGGTCTAACAAGACCCCAAGGTGCTGGACTGGCTTAGTAAGGTGGAGGAGCAACCATGGATGGTGATGCTGTCAGCGCCTGAGGAACAAATCGCAGATCCCACAATCCTTGAACTTTGCATATGCCATCTGATCTCCATGGAAATAAGGTGCAAAGGAAATATTGATCAGTTTGCACTTCCTTTCTGCTGTCTTCGGCTGGCCCTGGCAGTCACCCTAAACGATATCAACCAAAGGCTTTCAACAAAAAACTTCAGCAGGAAGCGGCCATCAGTCCCCAGTCTTTCAGAGTTTAAACTTTGACTTACATTCCTCTGCTTTTACAGCAAAATTGGTACTTCCTTCTGTGCTGTGCACTTATTAAGCAAACAAGGCAGAATTTTAACCTGCTTCGGCTGAGAATACTTTACAGACGCAAATTGACATTCCAGGGCTCAAGTTTTCCACTTGTGTGGCCACATAACCACTCACTACTGTTCAGCTGC